CACCTCCTCTCTCTCCCCCGCTCCTTCCTTGTCCCTGTTTTTCCAGCAAACCAACGAGAAAGAGGGCAATGCATCTCTGGCCCGAGTGGAGACGGTGCACGGGGAGCATGGAGGGCGTTAATGCCACAAGAATCTCCTTGGAAATCACATTAGCACAGCCACAGGAGAATGATTTGTAGTTTACAAAATTCCCAACAGCACAGAACTTTTTTTTCCATTGTATATATTTGTAGGCATACACTATGTGGCGAGTGTATTGTATATAAGCACATAGCTGTGTGTGCATGTATACGTATGGGTATGATCATATATATACATATATAAGTGTGTGTCTATATATACAGACATGCATGCATATATATATATATATATATATATATATATATATATATATATATATATATATATATATATATATATATATATATATATATATATATATATATATATATATATATATACATATATATATATGTATATATATATATATATATATATATATATATATATATATATATATATATACATATATATATATATATATATATATATATATATATATATATATATATATATATATATATATATATGTATATATGTACATATACATATATATATATATATATATATATATATATATATATATATATATATATATATATATATATATATATGTATATATATATATATATATATATATATATATATATATATATATATATATATATATATGTATATATATATATATATATATATATATATATATATATATATATATATATGTATATATGTATATATATGTATATATGTATGTATGTATATGTATGTACATATCCATTCATGCGTATATATACATATATATGTATATTCATACATATCTATCCCACTGAATTAATCATCACTTTGCACCCGGCCAGTTAACGCTAACGCCACCAATTACTCATTAATTGCTAACTGTATCATTATTTATTCACACGTAGTATTGTTTATTAATTTCACGTCACCCGAGCGATTTTCCCGTTGGTGTTGCATACACGTGTTAGTTCCTGCATCACTTTGCATGTTATAACGTATTTCCTACTGCAGTCGATATCACAGCAGAGTGAGTGAATGATCAGTGATAGATCAGATGATTAAAAATACTATACACCTCTTCAGAAGTGTGAGGAATGCATTCAAAACAAGAAAAAAAAATTGTCTGTGAAATCTTAGAAATATATCTTCATGATTAGCATCACGTGATCTGAAAAAATATATATTTTATAACCCCTCTTGTGTTATCTTCTCCCCACATTCCCTTCAAGAATTCCATTGGACTTCAATCCCTCCCCCTTCCCCTCACGCCCCCTCTCCTCCCCCCACCCCACCCTGCTCTCTCGCTCTCTGACCTCAAACACTGACCTAATTTGACCTTTTGCAGAGCTGGCGGACGCGGCGCTCAAGATCCAAGCCGGGTTCCGCGGAGCCAAGGTCCGTAAGAGCAACAAAGCTAAGAAGGAAGAAGCTGAACTGAACGAAAAACTTGGCAATCTGAACACGGTGAGTCATATCATAAGGGTCATTCTAGCCTCGTGTTATTCGTGTTTTTTGTTTTTGATTTTTTTCATGTAAAGGATGTGTTTTTTTTCATCCTTGTCCATCTTTTTTTCTGAATTCGTATATGATATTGTCTCTCTCCTGTTCTCGTAACGTACATGGGCAACTTTTTTTTAAATTGCATAATTGCATATTGTGGTTACCTTTCCCTCTTATTATGCACATTGTGTTTTATCTCCATTTCCTCCCAATCAGTCTGGACATGTTTTTTTTCATTTCTTTTTTTTTTTTGTTATTTTAATCCTCACTATCATTTTCTCCATTGGTATCAGCTTCATTATCTCCATGTCAGAGAGTCGTTGGCCGTAATTCCTTCCCTAAATGCTCTCAAGATTCAGCTGGATTCAACTTCTCTAATCAAGTTCAATAATCACTTCACTAGAACCAGATCTTGCTCATTGCTCATTACACTTTGATATCATTATCCCTGCTCCCATTTCGGGTAACTAGGCTCCTTCGCTCCGACGCCCACACCCGCTGTTATGCTTCCGGCGCCGAGATCGGAATGCGCGCTCCAGGCAACCTATTCAGCCGGAGTATTTCCCCTATTTTGAACAATTTCACTTTTTTTTTGTGTTAGGTGCCTCGTCCCCTCTCTGTGTGCCGTCTATGCTCCCTATCCCGCATGGCAACTTTATTCCCCCTTTTTACCCACTGTGTTCTTTCCCCTCCTCGACGCCCTGAAGGTGTGTTCGTACGCTCCCAACCTCGTCCTAGGAATACAGTTTCTACTTCCGTACTCCAGCCGACTACCCAATCACCTCCTCCAGCGCTAAGTTACTGTACATATCCCTCTCCTCAGTCATGAAATCCAATCTCACCTATTTTCTTCAAGGAACATAAATTCTCAGGCCGAAACTCCCCAGCGACGGTTCCTCACTTCTCCCATAGCCAAGCAAGGAATTTATGTACCCCTGAACAGCCTGAACACACAGACACACACACACATTGTCATTTTAATCCTCACTATCATTTTCTCCATTGGTATCAGCTTCATTATCTCCATGTCAGAGAGTCGTTGGCCGTAATTCCTTCCCTAAATGCTCTCAAGATTCAGCTGGATTCAACTTCTCTAATCAAGTTCAATAATCACTTCACTAGAACCAGATCTTGCTCATTGCTCATTACACTTTGATATCATTATCCCTGCTCCCATTTCGGGTAACTAGGCTCCTTCGCTCCGACGCCCACACCCGCTGTTATGCTTCCGGCGCCGAGATCGGAATGCGCGCTCCAGGCAACCTATTCAGCCGGAGTATTTCCCCTATTTTGAACAATTTCACTTTTTTTTGTGTTAGGTGCCTCGTCCCCTCTCTGTGTGCCGTCTATGCTCCCTATCCCGCATGGCAACTTTATTCCCCCTTTTTACCCACTGTGTTCTTTCCCCTCCTCGACGCCCTGAAGGTGTGTTCGTACGCTCCCAACCTCGTCCTAGGAATACAGTTTCTACTTCCGTACTCCAGCCGACTACCCAATCACCTCCTCCAGCGCTAAGTTACTGTACATATCCCTCTCCTCAGTCATGAAATCCAATCTCACCTATTTTCTTCAAGGAACATAAATTCTCAGGCCGAAACTCCCCAGCGACGGTTCCTCACTTCTCCCATAGCCAAGCAAGGAATTTATGTACCCCTGAACAGCCTGAACACACAGACACACACACACATACACACACACACACACACACACACACACACACACACACACACACACACACACACACACACACACACACACACACACACACAGCACACAACACACACAAAGTCACTCTACGCTGTCGGAATGTCCTAGCCCGAAGCATGTCACTCCCTCGCATGCATGTTAGAGACTAGGCTGTGAATACCAATGAATCCTCCAGCACTCGGAATATATATAGAAACGCCCAACGAAATCTTTGTAGAATGAGGTTTGTGTTTTTCTTTTTTGGGGAGGGGGGGGGGAGTGAGCCTACACAACCGCCATTCCAGCGCCGAGGATGCTATGCCAGGATTTCGCGAAGGAATCTCAACTTTGTAAATTTCGTACGAGCGTAAATCATTTTTTTTGTCATTCTTTCTCCCTTTTTCATCTCTCTCTCTCTCTCTCTCTCTCTCTCTCTCTCTCTCTCTCTCTCTCTCTCTCTCTCTCTCTCTCTCTCTCTCTCTCTCTCTCTCTCTTTCTCCCACTTAGTAATTCCACACTCGGTTTGACTTAGCTTTAAATATTGGTATTCTTCCGTAATTCCTCCTAGATGCGTTCCCGTCTTAGGGTACATAATATCGTGTTTGTAAAGTACGTCTTTCTTACTCTCGACCTTAAGCCTGAAGTGAATGTTTAAGGCTGATATTACATTACCTCGTGCACTTTGCCTCACCGTGTAGCATGGTAAGAAGCCTTGAACCTAATTCTGTATGAATTCCAAAATTATTGATAGTGTAATAAAAAATGCTTCTAAAAAAGTGCTGTTTAACGTCATTTCCAGAATGTTTTGTAAGCATACTACTTAAGGTTCAGTCTGGTTGAGCCTGATGCACCCGGGGACGCCTAGACCTGCAACGTAGTCCCTTAGGCTTTTAAAATACAATACAGATGTTTTCACAAAATTTAGCTCAGCGCTTAACCAAATTTCGTTCAGCACTTCTGCGAGGGAGAGATATGAGACATACTCAAGTCGACGCTGAAAAGAAACAAAATTCTTCGAAAATGAGGTTACATTGTCCTGGATAGGTAACAAAAAAAAAAGTTAATGTCTTTAACACGTCGATTCTTTCCATAAAGCTGCATATCTGAAGCGCGTACGTCCACACATAAATCAGATAAACAGCGTCATGATGGACATAAAATGACGAATCTACACGGAATACCCCGGATTCCACCAGGGATGACCAAACACTCATAAACACGAGAGTTGAACGAGAAAGCCGAAAAAGGGCGAACCCACTGCGAGAACGGAAGCATGCGGAATATACTTCAAGAGCAATTTCCTGTTTCATTAAAGCGGGCTTGATACAGTATCAGCGACATAAAACGTCCATGGAAATACAGGAGGTTACACGACATCCCGCTTAATTTGATGGCGCATTAGCCCTGAGCTGAATGAAGACAATTGGCAGCAGGAACTAATCTTGCAACGGAGGGCAGTGCTTATGAGCTTCCTTGAGAGATGGAGTGGCCTTCCTTCGGCGACAAGAGGGGAGAGAATCACGCATCGTCTCCGAAAAGCACATCCTGAAGGAGACACAGTTGCAGCTCAGAAAAAAAACATATTTGAAACACATGTATATTTTCGACTAGATCAGTGTGGCTGAGGACTATGCCTGGTAGAAATTTACATATCAGGAGTGACATTATTACACAAAAATAAATTAAAATTCGTGGCAGAAGCAAAGAGACAAATGAACAAGGCGTAATGCTCACTGCATATACACATGACATAACAAGACTTTGGATAACATACGTCTCAGTAATGATGATAGTTATCACAGTAATGATAATGCTAATAGTAATGATAATAATGATGATAATTATGATAATAGAATGATGATGATAATAGTCATGATACTAATAATGATAATAATAATGACATTGATTATCATATTGATAACAATAATAATTATGATAGTGTTAACAATAATAATAATGATATTATTATTAATAACAATATAATGATAATGCTAACAATAATGTTAAGGATTATGTTAATAATAATAATGCTAGTAATGATAATAATGATAGAGATAATAATGATAATAATAATAATATAATGCTGATGCTAATAATAATATAATGCTGACACTAATAATAATATAATGCTGACACTAATAATAATATAATGCTGATGCTAATAATAATGTTAAGGATTATGAAATGATAATGATAATGAAAATAATAATGATAACAATTATAACATTGGTAATAAAGATAACAATGACAACCACAACAACCGAAATAACAATAACGATAACAAAAAACAACGGTAGCCTCGCCGACCGATCACCCGCGAAGCAACGACTCAAACAAATGAACAGCGGTGACCCGAGGCAGAGAGCACCTTCCACGACCCGGGAACTAAAGTCACAAAGTCGTATGTCTTCGAGCCTTCTGAGGTCAGTAAGAAGCAGACATCGTTGATTTCCTGTCTGGGTCTCTCCTCATAATGACTTCTTCCTTGTGCCGGATAATTCCTTGGTCTGTTTCCAAGTTCTGACGTAAACAGGCTGTATCCTTCAATCTGGCTGCGCTTAACGTCGGGGTTCTTGCGTTTGTCTGCTCTCGCTTCTCTCTCTCTCTCTCTCTCTCTCTCTCTCTCTCTTTCTCTTCTCTTCTCTTCTCTCTCTCTCTCTCTCTCTCTCTCTCTCTCTCTCTCTCTCTCTCTCTCTCTCTCTCTCTCTCTCTCTCTCTCTCTCTCTCTCTCTCTCTCTCTCTCTCTCTCTTTCTCTCTCTCTCTCTCTCTCTCTCTCTCTCTCTCTCTTTCATTCTCTCTCTCTCTCTCTCTCTCTCTCTCTCTCTCTCTCTCTCTCTCTCTCTCTCTCTCTCTCTCTCTCTCTCTCTCTCTCTCTCTCTCTCTCTCTCTCTCTCTCTTTCATTCTCTCTCTCTCTTTTCATTCTCTCTCTCTCTCTAGGTCTATCTATCTATTTATCTTTGTTTCTATCTTTTTATTTCTTTGTATCTCCTTATCTATCTCTCTAGCTAACTGTATTTATATCTATCTATCTCCCTGTCTAATTATCCATCTATGTATTTATGTATATACATATATATATATATATATATATATATATATATATATATATATATATATATATATATATATATATATATATATATATGAATGTATACATATAAGTATACACGCACGCATCGTCTTGCCTGAATTCGCCTTCGTGGGAAAATGATGAAAATCAAGAATAATATATTTCCTTGCTATCTACATTATAATTACTATTATTATTATCAATGTTTTTAATATTATTATTATTATAATAATAATAATTATTATTATTATTATCATTATTATTATTATTATTATTATTATCATTATTATTATTATTATTATTATTATTATTATTATTATTATTATTATTATTATTATTATTATTATTATTATTATTATCATTATCATTATTATCAATATTATTATTATTACTATTACTATCATCTTTATTATTATCCTTATTATTGTTATTATTATCATCATTGTCATCATTATCATTATTATCATCATCAATGTTATTATTATCATTATTATTATTATTATCATTATTATTATTATTATCATTACCACTATCTTTCTTATTGTTATTATTATCCTCATCAACATTATCATCACCATTATCCTTATCATAATTATTATTATTATCATTACTATTACTGTTATTATTATCATGGTTATTATTATTATTATTACCATTACTTTTACTACTGTTGTTGTTATCAGTGACATCATTATTACCATTACCATTATCATCACCATCATCATGATTATATCACTATTAGTTCATCGTCATTATTAATCCATCATAATTGTTTTCACAGTTTTTATTATCATTATCATTTCATCATTATTATTGGTGCTATTATCATTATCATTATCAGTAGTAATGTTAACCTCATTATCATTATCTTCGTTGTCCTTACTATTACATGATAATTGTAATAATATTTTAGTAATATTAAAATAATATCTTTCTTCTTTTCTTCTCTTTTTCTTCTTCCTTTTCTTCTTTCTTCTTCTTCTTCTTCTTCTTCTTTCTTCTTCTTCTCCTTCTTCTTCTTATTCGCCTCTTCCTCCTCCTCGTCAGCCTCATCCTCATCATCATCATCACAACCATGTCATCACCATCACTTCACCACCACCATTATCATCATCAACACCACCTACATCATTAACAGCTTATCATCATAATCATCATCATTTTCAT